CCGAGGTGAGGATCTCAGCCTGCCGTCACTGACGTTCAACCAGAAAACATCAGCCATTAGCTGTTAGCAGTTAGCACACAGAGATCACAGCTCCTCATATCTGTTCAGAAACTGTGCAGAAGTTAAACAAGTACAAACCACAGACTGTCTGTGTCATGGCGAATACAGTCGTTGGTTTATTTATGTCTGTAGGCCGTTGTTATGAGTGTGGAGTGAGCATATACAACGTTAGCTTAGCCTGGTCGACCCAATCTCCATTCAGAAAACAAGCATTTTAAAAGGTTTTTCGCCCGCCGTCTTGTCTGCAGACTTGTCAAGCATTAATTCATTGTTTTTACTAACCGGTATCAGTATGTTGTTACGTCGGCATCATTTAGAAACGTGTATTACAATTTAATCACGGTAAAATATGTTCATTTTGTTGTAGTTGTAAGTCCCGAGCCAGCGCGTCTTGTTTGAATGATGCGAGTAAACACAGCTGGCAGCCGCGGTGAAACTCGAGCGACTAGAGCGATGCGATAGGAGCGTTTAGAGCGAAGCGAATATTCGTATCGCGTCCGGTGTGAACGTAGCATTACGTTATGGCTTTCAATACTTCTCCCTTCATGAATGCAATCAATGGTGTTCCACTTTAAATAAGAAGCAGCCTTTCTAATTTCGGTGGGTGGTTTACTCAAAGTAACACAAAGAGCATTATACTTAAACCTGTAGCCTACCTTAGCAGGTCGTTTTATACTCTTTTGCACCCTGATGCCTGATTGATGAGTTTGTCTTGACACCTGACCTCAGTGACCCCCGGACTTATTTACTCAGTGTTTACCAGTATGTTTATATGACTGGTATTGTTCTCACCTTATGAGTCTAAATGTGGTCTGGAGACACCTACTGTAAGGGGTTTTAGTAATTGCCTGTGTTTATATGTCTGTCTTTCTGTCTGCGGACAGCTATTGTCAATGCAAATGTGTGGCAATAGTGCAAGATGCAGTCATAACATTTGACAGGTGTGTAGTTGTAGTTGGGGTTGACTTCTATCTGTTGCATGATGCCGTTCGGCCCACAAATGTTTAATTTCGTAGACCTAAATTGGATAAGAGGTGTCTGTAAATCAGCCTTGATTTTGTTTAGGTGAATAAACTTAAAGTTTAGATAAAAATCACAAACAAAACAGCACACGTCATATTGGTTAAATGGGAATCTATTCAAATTATAGTAGTTATGGTTAGACTTTGGGCCCATACTTTAGTAGGTTTAGCTGCCAGGACCTGTTCTTGTTCATTGCACACTTCGTAGTTTATTAATGTCCCCCATTTGTAAAGAAGACAAGGTGCATCTGTTTGGTGTGTGTGAAACGGTGTCCTTTGGCAAATTGACTCAGACTCAACAAGTCACTATGATGAATGTGACACACCTAGAACACATTTAAAACCATAAATCTGAAGCCTTTCTCCCTGTCTAATTATTAAAACACGCATTAGAAGAAAAGACTAATGTGGAAAGTGTGCATGCATTAAGTTAAATATAAAGTTTGTATATCATCTTGATTGCGTCATAAAATATACATGTATATAAAACAAGATGAGTTGTATTTGATCCAAAAGATAACTTTAAGGTGTGATCAATAGTCGGTCACACCATAATAATTTGTTTTTTGGATATAAACTGAAAACAAATTACAATATCTGAAAATGATCAGCAATTTCTTCTTAAAAACGTTGTTTTACTCTATACATTACATGTATTGTATATGTCTGTTCACTTCATACAGAATTTCAAGAAAAGTGTGAAAAGAAAGTAAGAAGAAAGTGCCTGTGACAGAACAGGGAAAGCTTTAAAAAACACACATTGTGACTTTGATGACAATAAACAAACTGAGATATTTAGATTTGAACAACCTTTAATTCTTAACATTTCATCACACTGGATCATCTAGATTTTCTAAACCTATCAACATAAGTGCTTCATAAAATGATTATGAGGTTGTTCATTTCACCATCAATGACATGATACGATGTGGTGCCTGTGTTCTGTGAAATAAAGGCATCACTGCCCAGTCACACTATAAAGAGGAACTTGTAGAGAATGATGCTGAGGTGACACACAACCAGACAGCTGAGGGGGGCATGTGCAGCAGCAGCAGTGTTGGTGGTGTTGGTCGTTGTAGCTGCGACGGTCGTAGCTGCAGTTGTAGCTGTTGCAGCGGTGGGAGTGGCTGCAGCGATGGGAGTGGCTGCAACGGTAGGAGTGGCTGCAGCGGTAGGGGTGGCTGCAGCGGTAGGGGTGGCTGCAGCGGTAGGGGTGGCTGCAGGTGCCGCAGTTTGAGCATGTGCTGATGCTTTTAATAAAATAGAGATAAAACAACAATAAAAGAGAGGACTGTTTCCTTTTCCAAAAAAAGTTGCAAAGCACAAAATGTTTTACTTACCGATGAGCAGGAGGGGTATGAGGATTGTCAGAAGCATCTTAAGTTGCTGTTGCATCTAAAAGAAAAAAAGAGAAAATATGTTTTCTTACTTGATCAATTAAGTCAATTCCAATTTAAAATGTAAGTCAAAGAGTAACTTAAAGTCCAACAGAGAAAGAAAAAAACTTGATTAACAGCTGATGAAACTACCAAAAATAAATCTGAATAATTCCTAAAAGTCCGTTTTCCACACACCAACAGACTGAACAAGATGGTACTTACTTTTCTGGATTTTACGTATGATGCTGCCTTGAGTTGTGAATGCTGCTTCTCTCGTCTCGCTCTTCAATTAGTTCACCCTGAGATGTGCACCTTTAACTCAACCTCTGATTTTAGCCCTGCCTTTATAAGGTGAATGACCAACATGAACAATTGGGAAAAAGACACCCAGCTTTGAGCATTTGACAAGTGATCATTCCTTTAACAGTGGTCACCTCAGTGTAACTAACTGCTTTGTTTAACTGTGCATTTTTTAAACATGTCAGTTTGTTCTACTGCAACAAAAAGGATTTTGAAAGCAAACAAATTGGCGTGGCAATGAAGGAGTTGTTCCTCCGTGTGACACAAAGCCAGTAGTGTCTACATTAATAGTGGATGTCATTCAAAGTACTTGGAATGAGAAAGGTGAGGGAAAAGCAAAGTGTCTTTGTATGCAACCTGTTCTCCAAATTGACTGCTATTTAAAGTGAACACAGTATTTTTCCCTGAAACCTGAGTCTTGTGATGCATTCATTTACGTAGATGCTGTGTGACAAAGTTATATTTCACAGTTGATACCACCAGTGTCTTGTAAGAGGTCAGAGTAAAACTAACCCATTGACAAAGTTTACATTATTGTTCAGTTTAACCGCTCCAATGTTAATTTATCTACTCATGTGAGTCAACCTTTTATGCCTCTTAATGATCAATAACCACTGGTGAAATGTGACCTATTTTCTCAAGTATTTTAATTGAATACAATAGAGGTTACTGTAGCTACTTTACGTCAGTATTTTTATTTTAGTGCCAGTGTAAACTTCTACTCTACTAAAATTCAAAAGTACTAGTTACTTTACAAATTAAGATGTTTGCCAACAAAACATGAACAGAATAATTTTGTTCAATCACTTTCTCCAACAGTATATACAGTAACAGTCAGCACAACTGTGAGGATTTACTTTTTCCCCTTAAATTATATGTTATAATTCTGAGGTGTAAAATATTGGTTGGACAAAACAAGAGAAACATTTGTTATTTAGGGCTCTGGGTAAAAAAAAAAAGGGCAAGAAAAATATTATGTTTAATAGAAATCTTCGGATGCAGTCCTTTTGCAAAATAGTTAAAAATTCTCCCAAACCAACGACAACAGTAAAATTAAGGCATGAGTGCCTGCATTGAGTTCTATTACTTTAATACATGTTTTTGATTATACTTGCACACTTTTACTAAAGTAACATTTTCAATGCATTATTTCGGCAGTGTGATGTTGGTACCTTTTATATAATATAAGGATCTGAATACTTCTCTCACCACTCAGTTGTGGTCAAACTGCCTCACTGTAGGCAAGAATGTTTTGAGGAAATGTTTTAAAAGGTCACACAAATAGCCATATTGATAAACTTAAGGGTGGCATGGTCCTTCTATAAAAGATGAAAGACCCAAACCCATTTTACTGATATCTTTGAAGAGACAAATGCGGCCTTTATGAGTTATTGTATTTATTTATAGGATGTAGATTTACTACACTTTTAGTCTTTTAACAGTTTCATTACTGTAGTCACCTGTCCCTTGACAAGCCTCTTGCTTAACCCATTGAAGAATAAACAGCGTCTGGCATAAGACAAAGGGTCTCACCCAAACGCCGACATCTCAGGTGATGCTATAACGATGAACTAAATCATTTTAGTATAGAAACATGGTGAAAACTGCCAATTATAATTGTGGACACTTTCAAATTTGTCAGACCAATAGGCCCAAACTTAAATATTTGAAGTTCACTATCGTATAAGAAGAGCGTAAAAGATTCCAATTTGAGCAGCTGGTTACATTTGGCATTTCTTGATGAAAATAAAGTTTATCTTTCGGCACAATTTATCAATTGTTTCTGCTGTAATAGAAAATATCCAAGCATTATTCAAAACACTAAGATAATAAATGTTTCAAAGTTAAACCTTGACCTTATTGATATTAAAACCATATAGTCCTTTCAGAAGTTCTCTGAAACTGTAAGATTGTATTTTTCGCAATTTAGTTTAGATAAAGTCTTTCCTTTCATTAATTACTGGATTGCCCAAAATGGCCACAGCTCTGTGTTATGTTAATATGGAGTGATATAATATGAAATAAACAATATTGCTTTATGAAGCTTATAAACTCTTATGAGGGGAGATATGGGGGTTAACTATGCCCAAGTCATAATTATGTTTAACAAAAAAAATCTCAGAGCATCTCAACTTAAATGCAAAAACACTTATTCCATTGTCTGCTAATGGTATACATGTAAAACTCCGATATATACCTACATTGATGTTAAAAAAATGTCAATGATTTTCCCAAACAATTGAAAGAGCAATAATGATTCCATTTTTATTGAAAATAGGTACATCAATAAAAGGAAACAATACAAACAAAAGGTGAATCTTAACTGTTGATCTCCTCAGAGCCCATGTGACCAGCAGCGCAAACACTAATTGTGCATCCTTATATTTGACTCAGTATTACATTTCTCTTTAGAAAGCTTTCATTGGGTCCATGTGAAAATAAGTCCTCCCAGGTGTAAAACATGTAGGCAAAGTATTGAACAGTTATGTTTTTATTATCTCAGTCTTGGTTGAATCTTTGGCAACTTTCGGACCTTTTCGCCCTTTGGGTTTCCCACCTTTGGGTTTCCCACTCTGCTTCTGAGACTTCTGCAGCAGAGTCAGAGTGTCTCTCTTCTCAATTCTCCTCAGCTGTTTCTTCTTCATCCTCTTGATCTTTGCTGTGTTCTTGATCTGCGATTACAAAAATAAGATAAGAGTTAAAAAAAGAAGAAGCAGGTAACATATCCCATAGAAAGAGTGTGTGTTTGTTTCTAATAATAACAACAGCCAATTCACCTATTTAGCTGTTGTATTGCATCAAACTTTGAAGAGTGTTCTATATGTGAGGAGGCTTAAATGTGTTTAGGATATTTAACTTAAAGTTACAATTCAATGCTTTAATTACAATAATAGGAAGCTTGCAACATAATGCTGGACAGAACAAGCTCTTCAGTTGATCACGTACTTTTTAATCCACTCTGAACTGGCCCTACAAACTATAGCGAAGCATTATATCTTAAAATAAATAAAGCAACTGTAAGCCCACAATTTAGAATACTTCAGTCTTCATAATATAACAATTCAGTGTTATTCTGTGTACAACAGGCCTGCGTGGTGTTAGGGTTTCATCTTAAATTGTGTGAAGTATCCTAGAAAGTTTAGTGTGAACAGTTGACATACCACTTCAACAATCTCTGATTTGCGTTCGTTCTCTGCACGACGTTTCAAGTTGTCTTCTCTCCGTTTTCTCTTATCCTATAGAGCCAAGAAATATAGAATACATCAAAAAACTTGCAAGGACCAACATTACAAAGGTTAAATTATTACATGACTTTAGCTTACCTCTTTCTGTTTGATTTTCTCGTCTTTAAGCTGCGAAGTGTACTGTTTCACCTGCTCCTTCTCCCGCTTGGCTGCCATCTTCTTTTCCCATGAAGAGCACAACGGTTTATCTCTTAACAGTGCGGAGAACCTGAGAGAGAAAATCACATCTCGTAAATTAACCCCCGTAAATTGGAAATGCACTGATCTACAGTTTTTATCCCAACTCGAGTCATTTCTCGTATGGTAAATTAAGCTAAAGAACTGCAACAGCATTAACAGTTGCGTCTGTTGAGTGCTGAATGAAATTAATTAAAAAATATGTTTCATACATTTCTTTGTGTGGAACACTTCCTCCCTCCTGTTTTCTTATTTACTCTGTTTAAAAGAATCTCTACGATATCCATTTTCATTCAGGGAAATAAACCAACCTTTATTGGTGTTACATTTAGTTTGAACCCCAACTGCTTTACAATAACAAAGTTATTTAAATTATGTTATCTCATTCAAATTAAAATGTCAACACATAACAAATGGGATACTTGCTGCTAAGGAAACAACGTTGTTCATCATGTCTATCTAATTCTAAAGGGATTCATATAAGAGGAAAATCTGTGTAATGGTTACCAGTGGTAGTTGTAAAGTATTCAAAACTATTTGTTAGAAAAGAGAAGCTGCGAGAACTACTGCATTACAAGTCATCCATGCAAAAATATACTTAGATAAAAAACTATAAAAGTAAAATTAAAAGCAGGCTGACAGTCGTTAACGTTAGATTATTGCATCATTCGACCTGAGGTACCGGGGGCCACTCCCTGAAGGGTGGGCACGTACTGGTCCTCTAGCGCAGACGTGCTCGTACCCGGCCCCGCTCCTCCCTCTTTCTGTGCTGATTAAGTCGACCGGCCGTATGAGCTCTTCACCGCGGCTCCAGTTCGAGCGATACGAGAATGGCTTGGCCTTGGCCGCATGGCACGGGTCGGCGGTGTGGCTCCGACGGGTCGTCTATGTTGGCTCCGGCGACAACTAATTACCACTCTGTCGACGGACAGATCCGGACGGTGGCCGTCTTTGTCCGTGGGTCCTCGAGTCTTTGGCAGGCCGCTTCGTTCGAGCAAACCCAACGTTAACGGCATTTGATTGACGGCCGGGAAGGCCGGACCCCTTTGGGCGTAGACCACTCCCCACACCTTTCTGGCGTTGTTCGTCCGTCCACTCGTATTGGGATAATGACACCGATTTTTTTACTTTAGTGATTTCAACGACACTACTTCAACCCAAAAAAAATCAAAGAATTCCTAACAAGTAATGTGTTGTACACTAGTCAAATACTACGCAGTGATGTCGAATTTGAAGGGTTGTAAAACATTATACACTTTTTGATGTGAGGACACGGAGGAGGAGGAGCATATATAAGTATATATATTATATATATATATATACATAATATATAATATATACATCAGGTATACTATAATCATATAAGTTAGTATATATACATATATATAATATATACATCAATATANGACTGAGAGGCTCAGTGAGGTTAAGGACTCTCTGAGTATTTAGATAGTTAATTTTAGTCTAAGTTATCTCAGTGGGTCTCAAACGTTTTGACCACAAATTATTTAAACACATATTTCCAAGGCACTCCTTTATAATTATTAGGATGAATAAAACAGGTTTGAAATCATTCCAATGTATACTATAGGACAGTAAACCAAAATATTGTTTAAAGTTGGAGAGATACACAAATATGCATAATTAAATAAATGTCAACTAGGTAAAATAAGATATGAATGAACAACAAAAATAAAATAAGCTACATTTATTTGTTATTGGCTATGGTAGGTTATTGGTTATGTTCACATACTTATTTGATTATTAAAATGTAAACCGATATTTTTCATATGGGCGTTTTAGAGTTGTGTCCCCTAGATCAGGGGCCGTATTCACAAAGGATTTTAGGGG